GTGCCCAGTAAAAAAATAATTATAGGAGGAAGCTGTCATTAGTTGAGTCTACAAGGTTAGACAAGGATATCTTTGTCTGTTTAAAATCAAAGGTTTTCAATGGCTCACGGTGTTTATAATAGATGCAGTACGGTTTCATATTATTGCAACTTGGCAACTTTAAGGCTTGTGGACTTCAACTCAAAGCATAGCTGGCTGGAGAATTCTGGGAGTGGAAGTCCACAAGTCTTAAAGTTGCCAAGTTTGGAGACCTCTGTTCTGAACAATTTCTACAAAAGACATTCTATCACAAGCTTGAATCTTTCTCATTCTTAGCTACAGTGGATATTAGGCTAATTTTAAAGAACGGGGAGTAAAAAAAAGGCTGATTACTGATTCTAAAGAAGCCAAATTTGTATGTGACACCTAGGATGATAGTTATTTTAAGTAGTTTTTGATTCTGTAGCATGTATCAGGAAAAATGCATCAGAAAAAGGACCTTTCAGATGTATGTATGGTGATGATGAGATGCAATAGCAATCCGCTCAATTTGCTACCACACAAAACAAACATAATTAGCAATCCCATCCATGAGACAGTTAACTGTAAAAGCAAAGTAGTTTTGAAGGAGAAGGAAATTTTATCTCAGCAACTTTACTGTAGCTGAAAATTCTCCTCTATTTGCTACCTAAAAATTGCAAGGATACAAAAATAGATCATCTTGCAGATCTACAGATAGCACAGGCGTAGAATAATAGAGTTGGAAGAGACAGTGGTGTGTTTCAAAAAAGTTTACCACAGGTTCAGTGGGCGTGGTTTGGGGAGGCGCGCTTTGCGCACATGCACACACTTTGCACGCGTCCATGCACCAAACGCACACTTTGCGCAGCTGCAGAGGCTTTCCAACTCACCTCCTGTACTCCTGCGCTCTCCCTGTTGTTTCAGCAGCTGACACGCAGCAATCTGCTGTGCCGTGCAAAGCAGCTGCGCTTCAAAAGCAGGACATAAAGGTCAGAGTGGGAGCCCAGGTGGGAGGGTGGGCCCAACAGCAGAGTGTCTTAGAGAACCGGTTTGGTCTCCGCTGCTCTTCGGCGCTACCGGTACGCCAGAACCGGGCCGAACTGGTAGAATACCACCACTGCTTGGAGGTATTCTAGTATCTAGTCCAACCCCAATGCTGTATCATTTCAGATAAATGGTTATCCAGTCTCTTTTTGAAAGTGTCCTGTGATGGAGCACCCATAGCTTCTGAAGGCAATTTTAGTTGTATTTCAAAGCAGAATCAGCAAGGTGAAATGGTTTTTGTCACGTACTGTATAAAAATGAGAGAGGTTGTTTTAAAGGAAGAAGGTTCAAGCCACTTTCCACGTTAAGCACCTCTGAGTAGAATGCTAGATCAGCTGAAGCTGAAAATGGACCACTTAGTGCAAGATCTTCAGAACTTCTGATTCAAATGAGGATTAGATATATCATAGTTAAGTCAGAAAAAGATAAGCTCAGGTCTCAAATTCAGATAATGATGCAGAAATACAAAAATAATGCTGGAGTGCCTCAGTACTATGTGAAAGTGCCTCAAATGTCACGTTGTTGAAGCACACAATATTAGCAAACCAATAGCATTTCCACCTTTGCATTCAGCAAATTAGCAAATCGTGTAAGCCAGGAGTCCCCAAACTTGGCAACTTTAAGATTTGTGGGCTTCAACTCCCAGAAGCTGGTTGGAGAATTCTGGGAGTTGAAATCCACAAGTCTCAAAGTTGCCAAGTTTGGGAACCTCTGAGATAGGCAACTGAATTTAATTTTCTGAATCTCTTTGCTATATGTAATGGCTGATTGGATTTTTAGTCCAAATCTTGAAGCCCTAACTATAGCTGAATCCATCTCCCCAGGGATGCAACAATTTATAGGCATGGCATCAATATTCCAGTGAAGATAATTGCAAGGACAGCATTTGTTATGGTTAGAGGAGGGGGCAAGAAGGGCAAGCAAAATAAATGTCAGATTCCAAATGTTGTAGCACAAGAGTCCCAGTGGGCCAACAACACAAGAAGCTGTCTAAGCGATGATTTTGTGAAACTATCTTATTTTGCAAATATTTATTGGGAAATAAAATAGCTGTGAAGAAGTCTGTAGAGATTCTCAGTCATCGAGGTCATGTCCCAAAGGTGTTTTTTCATGAGGTAACGGGACTTTCTTTCTTTCTTTTTTTCCATTTTGAAGATGTTTCGCTTCTCATCCAAGAAACTTCTTCAACTCTGATAGGATATCCTTCCATGGAGACTGGATATCCTTCCATTCCTCACTATCCTGTCAAAGCTGAAGAAGCTTCTTGCATGAGAAGTCTTCAAAAGAAAAAACAAGAAACTCCAGTTGCCTCATGAAAAAGGACTTTTGGGACTCTGAATAAGTATTATCAGCCAGCTTGAGGGGTGCTATTGATCATACTCCATTTAGTGGAAGGGCAGGATGTAAATAAAATCATTTTTAAAAATGTGTGTGTGCTTTTGTGTGCATGCACACGCACAAATTGGGTATCATAAAAGAACGGCTGAAGGGATAGCAGTTGTGAATATCCTACTCCAGTGCAAACTCAATAGGATATTACTTATAGCACATAAGTGCTGACAATACGCTTTTCTAATCTGTCCTCTGGACAAATACAAAGAGTTGCTCTTTTCAATAGCTGAAGCTGGAAGCTATGCTTCACATGCCTCCCTGTTGATTAGCTTTATACTCCAGAGCTGTTCAGACATGTTTCAGAGAGTGGTGGTTAAAAAGAAAGCAAAATTAAAGGCAAGGAGAGGAAATGGCCTACAGAAAGAGTTTTTAGGCATAATTGCTGAGGGCGTTTCCCCTCCTTTTATTATAAATCACATGAAGTCTGAAGTAGCATAAAAGCACTTGAATGAATGAAGGATGAAAGAGGCTTGAAGGGATGGCAGCCCTTCTATGCTGGGTGAGATGACCACTTAACCTTCCATTTGTGTCTTGATAGAAGAAACTGTGGACAGCAGTATCCTGAAGTACAAACTTAAGTCTTTGCAGCCCAATACCTATTACAGAGCTTGGATTAAGGCAAACACCATCATGGGAGGAACAAAGGGAAATGAAATTCACTTTTTTACCAAACTACTTAGTAAGTTATTCAAGGAAAATTGTTTTTCTCTTTATATATCATTATTACTTAAGACATGTTTGTGTTGTTTTTAACTAGAAAGAATCCAATGACTTTAAATGAGTGAAAATGAGACAATGCTAATCTTTTCTACAATTGGAAAAGCTAGAAACATTAAACAGTGGTGTTTTTTAACATATTGCTTTTAGAGGTTAATGAGCTCTAAAGATTCTGTAGTTATAGTTATAATTTAGTCATGATAACCAGCTGAATCAGTTCAAAGTAAGAGAAGCCTGACCTATTTCGTTAGCTCAGTTACCTGCACAAATATACAGTATATTTCTCTCTTGGATGCAACCTCATGGAATCAATCCCACTGATTTCATTGATCCCTATGTATAAAACGTCACTCGGAACTCTTGTTGTCCCCAATTTGGGTCTGAGCCTGGTGCCGAAGCCAATGATGGATGCCAGACACAAGATGCAGGTTTTCTGATTGCTTTTTATTGGAGTACTCCAAAGAAAAGGGCTCCTGGTCAAAATGCCAAGAGCCAAGAACAAAGGATTGAGTAAGTTTTATACATTTTCACTTGAGAAGTTGGGACAAAGCGAGATAATATCATCTAATAAACATTTTAGTAATAATTCTACAAATTGTTCTATTGGTCTCTAGCTGTCCCTATTCCCAAGTCTTGGCTAATGTATGCCCTAGGAATTATCTAATACACATTTGATTTGCTGCAGGCCATCTCTATTCCTAACTTTTAGCTGAGGTCTGCAAGTTGTCTAACTCATGTTACTTTTATCAGCTTTCTAATTAGCCAGATTGTTACAAGATTTACACATGCATATTTCCTGTGGATAAGAATTCTTTGTTGTTGCCAGACAGACTCCACAATTACAGGCTTCCTGATTTACTTTCAAGTGTGTGTATGACCTGGCTTTATTTTAGCAGACCATCACTATTGACCTAAAATATTTGTAATTTGATATTTTAATTTGCGTGTCCCTCTTCTAGGTACAACAGACATTATTCTTGCAACTGTCTTCATTGGAATATTCATGATCTGCATCTTGAGTTTTGGATTATTATGGGCTCTAAAATATAAAATGTGAGTATATTTTTAAATGATTGAAAATGTAATGTCAAAAAACAAAAATCGTCCAGGTTCAGCTAAGACTATGTGACAAGGCTTGTTTCAAATCATAATCCAACCTCTATGCTTTCCCCCCTTTCATTATTGACATGAAATTCCTTCTTAACACAATCTAAAATTTTCATTTTTCTCCAGATGGTTATTTCCCAAGTAGAGCATTCCCATGTCTAACTTTCTTTGCCCAAATATTGGGTTCCATAGGTTATATACAAAATAATTTTAGGAGCTAGCTTTAAGCAGGTACCAGGTGAAGTCTCCTAATCCATATTCATTGGCACAGTACCTTGAATGTATTGGAAAATCTTCAGAATGTTGGACAATTGCATACATTTCTCCAGACACCAATTGAGTATTATTGTATTATATTGTATTGTATATATTATATTATATTATCAAGGGAATACTACCGTGTTTCTCCATAGGAAGGCCCAGCATGTTTTTTAGGCATAAAATGAAATTAAGTCCCTTCCCCAAATTTAGGCTTATTTTAAAACATGCAAAATGGGGGTAAGGGCGGGGGGGCCTTGCCATTAGGAGTGTCCCATGGGCAGCCATGCCTCGCCACCAGCCACTCCTTATGGCTGATCATGGCAGAGCGTGGAGAACTCCCTACTCCTGCCAAGTACCTTTGCTGCAGACCTAGGTATGGTGCTGCCTGCAGGCCGGGTCAGCGGGCGGGTGTTGGCGGTGTGGATGTTGGCCTCGGCGGCAGTGGGGCATTTTGCATCGCAAGACCTCCGGCGCCTGCCGCTACTGCTTCCTCTTGGAGCGTCATCTTCCGTTTGGAGTGTCGCCGCTGCATTTGGAGATGCCGCCACCACGTTTGGAGCGCCAAATGTGGCGTCAGCAGCTCCAAACGAGGCGGTGGAAGCTCCAAATGCGGCGGGTGATGCTCCAAACGGAAGATGACGCTCCAAGAGGAAGCAGCAGCAGCGGGCGCCAAAGGTCTTGCGATGCAAAATGCCCCACCACCGCCGAGGCCGACATCCGAGCCACCGCTGCCCACCTGCCCGAGGATGCAGGGGGGGGAATTAAGTCACCCTCAAAAAGACATCCTAGCCATTTTTGGGGGGCTCAAAAAAAAATATTTTATGAGAAACATGGTAGTACCCAAAGTTCCCTCAGAATAGTCACCCCAAATATTTCAGTTTAGGACCAAATTAGGGGATCTTTATTAAAAAGATTCATATGGATACTCAACTCACTCACAGTGACTCACAGTGGCTTATAAAGATAAGATCTCAAAACCCAAAACAATCCCATCTCTGTTTCCCCCACCATGACAACATTTGGGTAAGCTACTTGATGGGCTCCATATGAGAGTGGGATCTCCAGGCCCGCAGACAAATGGCCTTTCAAAAGACAAACAAGGTTAGGGCCACTCTTTTCTCTGGAGAGATAATGTTCCACAGGGAGAGAACTGTTATGGAAAAGGAACTTCTTGCTCCCACTAGATCAGGGGTATCAAACTTGCGATGACACATTGTCGTCCCAAGACATATCACAACTTTCCCTCCTTCATTAAGGGGTTGGACGTGTCTAGTGCGTGATGCATCTGGCCCATGGGCCGCAAGTTTGACACCCGTGCACTGGACCTCCTTAATGGGGGGACCCATGACAGATCCTGACTTCTCAATTGGTGTGCTGGGAGAATATAACTGGGAAGAGACAGTCCTTCAAATAACCTGACCTCAAGTCCACAGGGCTTTAAAGATGATAACCAAAACCTTTAATTAGATCTGGAAGCAAATCAGCAACCAATGCAGCTTCCACAAGATAGGTGATGTATGCAAACCTAGACTTGCACAAATCCATGAAGGCCATCACATTTTGAACCAACTGAAGCTTCCAGATACTTTTCAAGGACAGCCCCATGTAAAACACATTACTCATCTTCATTTAGAGCGCCATGTAGATTCAAGCAACCATCTGAGTAGTTACTCTTCTTTTTGTTGTTGCCAGTTTCATGTGGACAGTAAGAACAGTAGAATTATTTGTTTTTCTTTCCTCATCCCCTGCCTACTATACATTGTTTGCCGATGGTTATTTCCATTTTCACTAGTAAAGGAAGCTTAAATTCTTAGAATCTACATTTTTCCTGTCTCCAACAGAAAGAGGTGACTAGGGTGTGGAAGAATATGAGCAGGACTTTTGGTCCAGGAAAGGGTATAATTGTTGCACAATCTACAATTGTGCAAAGGCCTCCTAGCCAAGAGTGCCACCTGCTTCGCAAGCAGGAGTTGTGAGTCCAGGAGAATCCTCAAATTATGCACCAGGAACATCTGGGGCAGTGCAACTCCATCCAGGATCAAAGGTGACGATTCTCTAGAAACTGTTCTGTTTTGCCAGGGTTCAATTTCAGCTCATTGTTCCTCATCCAGACTTCAACAACCTCCAGCCTAAAGAGGGAAGTTGTGGCATCGCTTAATTCAACACAGAGATACAGCTGAGTATCATTAGCATACCAATGATATGTCACCTCATAGTGATGGATGACTGTACCCAGAGGCTTCATGTAGACCAGGGGTGTCCAACCTTGGCAACTTTAAGACTTGTGGACTTCAACTCCCAGAATTCCTCAGCCAGCTTTGACACCCCTGATGTAGACATTAAATAGAAATGGAGAAAATACCAAACCATATAAAAACCTATAAAGCAGGGGCTGAAGGTCAAGCCTCTTGGTTCCATTCGTGAGGTATCATCAAATGCAATAATCAGTTTGCTTTTGTTTTATCAGGATAAAACGAATTTGCTGGCCTCAGATTCCACATCCTGTAATAGCATGTTATCCTGCTGTATCTCAGGTAAGGACTGATTTTTGCTGGACAACCAGGCTGTGAGAACATGACTGATGGCCCAGAATTTTCCCTAGTCCTAATGCAACGTGAATCTCCTTGAGTGTTGCAGTCATGGACTTTACTTCTTCCTCTCTGATGTTTCAGATTCACTACTATTGGAGATAATTGAAAAAAAATGTGCAATTTTGCATAGAACTATGTGAAGCTAGAAGCTAGGTGTCATGTAAACTGTACAGCTAATAGCTAAGTGTAACTTAAATCACTGTAAATGGCGAGTCTCCAATTCATTTTTAGCCATAACTATCACAGTCTGTAAGCCAAAAGCCTTTGTCAGCCTTTGAGATGTGTAGCCATGAGATTGGATCCATTGAGGATATAGCCCCTAACCACTGCATTGGTGATACTGCCACCTCCCATTCTTTTTTCTCTCTACCTTGCCTTCCTTCTATAAATACAATTTGTCTTTAGACCCAAGAGTGAACTAGCAGTATCTTCTGTTCTGGCCATATTAGCTAAATTGCATATTGAAGCTGTGAACACATGAAGGAATTGACCATATCATGTAAGTAATGGCAAGAAGGCAAGAAGGTTGCCTAGAAGAAAGAACTTTGCTTGCCTGATGGAATGAAGAAGCAATGGCTCATAGGATAAATGGCCATTTACAAGGAACCATCTGAGTAGTTACTCTTCTTTCTGTTGTTGCAACATCCATGTAAACTGCAACAGCAGCAGAATTATTTTTCTTTTTGTTCTCCTATCTACATCCTCTTGGCTGATGTTTTTTTTCCTGTCTTCAACAGAAAATCATATTGGGGAACTCATTTTCTAAGGATGACATCAATATTTTGAAAATGGATACTTGCAGGGAGAATGAGTTGCCATTGCTGAATCCCGAAAACTTCTTCAAACAAGCAAATGTTACTGCAAAAATTACGGTTGCTGGTCAAGAGACTTTTTGTACTGGAGAATACAGAGCTCTAGAATGTCTTCTTCCAGTATCATCTTTGAACCATGACTTCGAGGATCAAACATTTCTAACTATGAAAAGCGATTCTGAAAGTTCTGCAAAAGATGAAATGCAATATCAGGAATATTTTCAGGAGAAAACTGAATTCAATTCATATTTGAAAAACTCTGTTTGCTCAAGAGAGTTCCTGGATTGCAAAAATGTAGAACAAAATACAAAAGAACCTGAAACCCAACCTGCTTCTTTGGCCTGTTATAGGGCTGGGGATCCTTATGTAGCACCAGATACAGATAAATTCAAAGTATTAATTACATAATGATTTAAAAAAAAAACTTATGGGACAATTGTGTAATTGCTGTTTTACTAAATAGTAAGCATGTAAGTTCTGCATGTTTTTTAAAATTATTGCATAAATTTGTTTCAAACTTGATTATTAGGAGGTATAAAATATTCACATCACGGGGCCATGTTTCATGCTTGCCGTTTCCTAATAAAATATAATGATGTTGAATAGAAAAAAATGGTCTAAGAAACTTTGGATATAGAAGAAAATGTTGTTAGGATAGTATCCATCTTATGAGAAGGAAGGACTCACTGGAGAAGAGCCCAGGGCTGGGAACGACTGAGGGCAAAAGGGGACCACAGAGAATGAGGTGGTTGGATGGAGTCACTGAAGCAGTCAGCGTGAACTTAAATGGACTCGGGGGGATGGTAGAGGACAGGAAGGCCTGGAAGGAACATTGTCCATGGGGTTGTGATGGGTCGGACATGACTTCGCGACTAACAACAACTATCCACACAACCTTACCTTCTGACCCAAAAAGCTAGTTAACCAATTGGTTAAGGCATCAGGCTAGAAGCTAGGAGACCATGAGTTCTAGTCCTGCCCTTGGGCCAGTCATTCTCTATCAGACCAGCCCACCTCATACAGTTGTTGTGGAGAAAATAGGAGGAGGGAATAATACTAGATAAGTTTATTACCTTATGTTATTTGTAAAGGAATAAAAGCAAAATAAAATCTAATAAAAATAAATTTGTTGGATATGCTTTTGCTGCAAATACAGTCAAAGCTATGCCTTCTTAAATTTTTTTTGTTTCATTATTCTAATCTAGTAATCAAAGATCTCAAATACGGAGGGGAAAATGAAGTCACATAATTGTCAGTCAGAACTATTGAAGGTGTTGTAAAGATTGGTATAAAGGTGTTATAGAAATAAAAATAAATATAAATGTATAAAGGCTTTGTATCGTTTGTATGTGTACTCAGTGGTTGAAATATTTTCAGCCTATCAAAAAAAAAAAACCTGTAAAACTAAAAAGGTCATTTTAAAGAGTTCATATTTTATATATTTATATAATGTCATATTTTATATATTTATATGTCAGAGTTCAAGATTTCTTGGGTGAAAGTTGTTTCATAATGCTTTGGCCTGAATAGGTTCTCAAAAGTGTCAGTCTCTCTCTATGTTAAACTATTTCATCATCTACCCAATGTTGAGATGAATTAGAGTTTCTTGGAACAGAAAGATTAGAAGAAAAAAATATCAGATGGTTGCAATGAAGTGATAAAAGTGTTTAGAAGCTCTGAAGTAGCTAAGAAGCCACTATCGTTTTGCTTGTTCTGTTTTTCACTTGACAAAACACTTCCTTATTTTGCGTATTATTTAGGACACATCTAATATGAAGATCTGTTAATTGCTTTCAGAATTGTGACTGTGAGATTAATCTGACTTTCTTCTTGATAAGAGGAGGAAGGATAAGATCTGAATTCTCCATCTCACAGATGCTGATTGCACAAAGCATTGCAGAAATGTTCAGTGTGGCAAGTAAAACATCCTCACTTTCTGCCCTTCATGTATTTTAGATTACATATCCTTGTCAGTTTTTGTTGAGCACAGAAATGCTTTTTGACCAAATGTATTTCATCTTTTTTCCCCTCCTTTGGCTGACATTGAGGAACTACAGTAGATCAGGGGTGTCAAACTCAAGGCCCACGGGATGAATCAGGCCCATGGGGCCACCCTGGAAACAGTGAAGGGCTGGACAGTGAAAATGGCCCTCCCAAGCTCCGTTTTCACTGACAGAGGGTTGCAGGAGGCCATCGAGAACCTGTTTCAACTAGCAGAGTGCTTGGGCAACTGCAGGCGCCCCAACAGGAGTGATGTTGAGCAGGCCATACCCATCCTGGCCATGCCTCTTGACCAAACCCTCCTCCCTGAGGTCAAACACAACCCTGATGCCGCCCCAATGAAATCAAGTTTGACACCCCTGAACTAGATGGAACCCTTGTTTTTTGTGTAAGCAAAAGATGGGTTTGATTCATACAAAGAAGTCTGGATTTATTAAGCTTAAACTATGGTTAAACGTGGAATATAGTTCATTGGAAGATTGCCATACTAATTTAAAATTTTGCATTGATGAAAATTTTGCATAGTTTCCACTTTTTAATTCATTGTTTAAAATCCTGTTTGTCTTAAGTATATTACTTATACATGTATATTAGTTTCCTTTATTTTTTTCTTTTTCAGTTTCCTTTTCATGCTTTGAAGCAAAACAAAATTGAAATAAAACAACTTTAAAATAATACTTTAAATTTATCATTTTCCTTGGTAATCTCTAGACTATGGAATATCCTCCTTGCTAGTTATGGTAGGATTATGCCTGGCCTTTTTCATTCACCCAGGCCTTTTGGTAATGTGCTAAATGTTGATTAAAAAATAGTAATAATTGCAGTTTTTTTCTTTGATGCTATTGTATTTTGTTAAAACACTTTAGTATATTTTAACCAACTGTTTAACCTATAAAGTGTCTCTTCTTAAATGGGAAGTAGTATCAAAATAATTTAAATAAAATAATGTCTGTCATTTGGTATAGCAGCATTCAGTGCATGCTTTTCAATATTATAGAAAGTTTTGTACATTGTTTAGAAGCTTTCCATATGTAGCTTGATGCATGCAGCCTTAATCTCTCCCACTGATTTGCAAACATATAATTATTATATGAGTAAAAATAATTCTGCTAGTGTAACAAAACATCTGAAAAGAAAGCAAGAATAGAAAAATACACATTAAATTACATTAATTTTATTTATTATTTTAAAAGCAATAAAAACTTATAATAAAAAAGCCAACAATACAAACAACATAATAGCTCTTTCTTCTAATAATTTTGTAATTGTTTATAAATGGATTTCAAAGAAATACACAAATAGCAATTCAGGGAAAAGACTGAAAGCTACAAATTTAAATGCCAATAAGTGTTTTCACATTTATACAGTAACAAACATGGCATTCACATTAATGAGGAAGGAGTATTCGGAGAGTTTTCTAGAAAGGTCAAAGGCCTTGATTACTGGTATATTATACAAATTGAATTGGCTATAATGACCAGACTCTCCAGATTTGTCAGATCAAATAATGAATAATGAATGTGTACATCTTCATTGCAACAGTAGCAGCACTATTGCCTTATTCATACCTTTGAGATGCATTTTGCTTTCTTTTTAATGTAACTCTTAGTTTTTTAGCCCTCAGAAGACAACTTGTACAATAGATCACTTAAGAACTGTTCTCTCCCATTCACGGACAGAGATTCAATCAGCATTATAGGTCCACTGAAATTGTTGAAAAGGTGAAGCAACAATGTCTGGCAATGGCAATGTGAACTCTTCCTGGTAGCCAGCTATTAGCAGCACGTAAACAACATGTGCCAAATAAAAGTACTGCAGGCTCTTTCACTTCTTGCAAAAGGAGTGCAAAGAGGATTTTGGCTGCTGTAAATGTTCAGATAAAGATAACACACATTCTGTGAAATTTCAGTAAATTGCACTATTATTAAACTGCAAATCAAATACAGTACTTTTTAAACATTCGTAATTTCCAATTTCCTTAATCTAAATCTAGGACTGAATGCTCTTCAACAATATTTGATAAATGCAAGTGCTGTTTATAAGCTTCTATAAAGTTTGCCCTAGTCCTTTCACATCAACCCAACCCCTCCTCACGAATGAAAGAGATTTCTCTTTTCCCTTTGGCTTCTTTGGTTAAAAAAAAAAAAGAGAGAGCTATTTTTAAGATAAATCTTTTTTCTTTTTGGTCTTATGCTTTTCAGTTAAGAGCTGGGTATAAAGGCATCTTCTTTTACAGTTCCATTGTCCATAGAGAAGGAATCTGCTACATGGAAGGACCAAGAAGTAAATCATAAAGCTTAATCAATCTTTCAGTTTACAATACCAGTTGGTTTGATATGTCTCCAGTGGATAAAAAAAAAAAATAGTATAGCGCGCAGGTCTGAGGAAGGTGTGTTGATCAAGACTGAATTAGTTTTGCAAAAGTCTATAGTCCTAAATCAGCGCTTCTCAACCTCGGCAATGATGTGTGGACTTCAGCTCCCAGAATTCCCCAGCCAATATAACATGGGTGTTGAAGCCTACACAGCTTAAAGTTGCCAAAGTCGAGATGCACTGTTTTAAATGCTACTTTGTCATACAATAGAAAATGAACATATTCCAATTCCTTTTACCTTAACAATTCCTGATTTTAGCAACATACACGCTCAATTGTAATTTACAATTATCAAATCATTAATTTTTTTTTACGATTGGTAATTGGATAAAAAAAAGTTTTCAAACTGTCATTTTAGAATTTAATACTAATCAAAAGCCCAATGCAGGGACACCATTTTTAATGAAGCATAGTGATATTGGGATGATATCACTATGCCTCACTGTGTGGTGGTGCAGTGGTCGAATGCAGTATAACTCACTGCTCACTCCTGGAGTTCAAATCTCACCGGCTCAAGGTTGACTCAGCCTTTCATCCTTCTGAAGTTGGTAAAATGAGGACCAAATTGTTTGGGGCAATATGCAGACTCTGTAAACTGCTTAGAGAGGGCTGTAAAGCACTGTGAAGCGGTATACAAGTCTATTGCTATTTCATGATGTCACAAATTAACCTCTTAGTTTTAATTAGCTGTAGCCATCAATTAAATAGCAAGTTATGAGTAGATCCATAGTCACCATCATTGGGTTTTCCTAGGACATGGTCAAAAAGTCAAAATGGTGGTCACAATACATATAAAAATAGGCATTGCACTACTGTGGTCAACATCTTGTCTAGTCCTGCCTGATAATTATTTTTTTCAATTCTTAATAGATATTTTGGTAAGTAAGCAGCTTATTTATTCATGCAGTCTCTACATCTATTAATAACTGCTTTGATATATAATAACATTAAAGTTAAATTGTTGGTTTCACCTGAGGAATAGGTCAAAACAAAAAAGAAAACAACCCTTAAAATCATTGTAACTTTTCTTGGATTTTCTTCCTTTCCTACTAATCTGCCTTCAAGCTTAAGGCACGAAGAGCAGCATTCTTATTGACATGCAAGGAAGCTGTGATTATAAATCTCAAGATTAAACACTTTCCTAATCATATCAATTACTTTCAGATGTAATAAAAGTAAACCTGGAATACTTGCTTTTTCATTGTATTTTTTAAAAAATCAAGGTACAGAATTACTTTGAACTATTTTAGTTAAAAGTGTTATATGTTATTCTGTACCTATTCAGTCACAGACAATTAAGAGTTTTACAATGCAACATTCAATTTATCTGATGAATTTTATTAGCAGAACTTAATACCAAATTGACTTGAGTGGATGTTCACAATAATGGTAAAACTAAGGGCTACATACCATGATGATATAAATTGCAACAAAAAGAATTATGTTCCAATTCCAACACTGGAGTCAATGCTTACTTTAAAAAATAATGGTAATGATAGGTAGATTAATTTGTTTCATAGTAATGAAGAAATTGAGGCTTAAAATGTGATTAAATCAAATTTGTAAAACTACATTTATGCTGAAATATGTCCCCTGTGATAAGTCTATCATTTTTCAAGCTTGGCAACTTTTAAGATGAGGGGGCTTTAAACACAATTCCTCAGCCAGTATTCCATTCATCAGAAAGCTGCCAAATTTGAAAAAAATACTGTTCCAGCAGGAGTCATAGGACTGATGTTTCCTTCTTGGAGATCAGGAAAAACTCCAACCTTGAAGGAAGGAACTGAGGCCCCCTATCTCAGCTTTCATGGTCAAATTTTTCCATGGGGGGATCCATTTTTAGAAAGCAAAGCCCAATACTCTAAACCTTGCTCAGATTGAAAGTCTCTTTGGGGGAAACTTGGTTTGAAGGCTATTTTTTTAAAAAAAATTAAGCCAGCTTGAGAGCTGGTACTTTAAACAAACAATAAAACCAGCCCTTTTTC